ATTGGGTGAACTGTAAAGATGATGTAAGAAGATCGTGCCGGAAATGTGAACTGTGTGCAACCAGTAATGGTCCAGTTGGTTAAAAGAGGGCACCCATGAAACAGTACAATGTTGGTAGTCCTATGGAAAGAGTAGCAATCGACATTGCAGGTCCACTTCCAGAGACAAATGATGGAAATAAATATATCCTGTTAGCCATAGATTATTTTACGAAATGGACTGAGGCCTATGCGATACCAAATCAAGAAGCTGCTACCGTTGCAGAGGTACTTGTTAAAGAATTCTTAGGCCGATTTGGTATTCCCTTGGAGATCCACTCCGACCAAGGGCGAAACTTCGAGTCAAACCTTTTCCAAAGCGTTTGTAAATTGATTGGTGTCAATAAGACCAGAACGACACCCCTGCATCCTCAATCAGATGGAATGGTCGAGAGGATGAACCGAACGATGTGTAAGCACCTGTCCAAAGTTGTATCAAAACATCAAAGAGATTGGGATCAGCACATTCATTTATTCTTAATGGCATACCGCTCGGCCGTGAATGAAACTACAGGCCAGACTCCAACCTGCCTGATGTTAGGTCGTGAAGTTCGTTTGCCCTGCGACCTAGAATTTGGCTGCAGACCTTCCGAAGAACATGTTGCAAGCGAAGATTATGTCGACCGCCTAAAGTTAAGAATGAATAACATTCATGAACTTGCCCGACAACACATCCAGTTAGCCAGTGACAGAATGAAAGATCAATACGATTCTCGATGCAAGAATGAAAACTATGAAGTAGGTGATCTTGTTTGGCTTTATAATCCACAACGTCGTCGTGGCTTGTCTCCTAAACTGCAAAGATAATGGAAGGGTCCGTATGAAATTAAAAAGAGAATAAATGACGTAATATACTGAATTAAGAGGTTGCCGAAAGGTAAACCAAAAGTAGTTCACATAAATCGTCTTGCACCTTATGCTGGCTCAAATGAAACCGAAGAAGTCCGAACCCTTCAACATGAGATCAAAGATGAACGGCGACCAAGCTTTAAGGAGTTTATGTCAAATTACGCAGAGAGAAAGAGTGCTAGATTCGGCGTGACGACAGAAGTTCAGCAGGATCTTTTTAGTGTTCCGCATAACGTCTCTCTAGCCCACTGTGTTGCCCAAGATCTTGAGATGACTAAAGGAATCTCATCTGTATTTTATAAGAAATTCGGTCGTTTGGACGAGTTAAAAAACCAGCAGCCTAAAGTTGGAAGAGTACTGAGATGATTGCTTTTTCAACTGCAACAGGTGCCTAGCATACAGTGGTAACTTCACTTTATATCTTTTTTTATATATATTTTTTATATCTTAATATAGATAACTTAAATAATGCTACCAAAAGTTAAGATGAAATCATAAAATAAAATTTTTTGCATAGTTGGAAGTGAATCAATTATTTTCTTAGTTCTTTTTCACTAGTTAATATTATATTAAATATTATATGCTTATTAGACCACGTGTTCTGTTGCTTTGCTAATTTTTACTAAGTCTCTAAATGTTGTTAGTTATTTAATTGTTTATACAATATCACCATATGATGTCCATTTATTTGAGTTTTTGTACTACCTTTTTAATACCATTGACAACTACATATCTTTTTTAAGATGAACTGATGATGCTATCAGAATTCGATAGCGAAACGTCTTCAAAATAGATGAAGTAGTATCAACTTTGTCTTTTATTTCTTCACCGAGTTGACCGATAATTGAACCCACCACTCGTCTGAGTGATCCTTATTTATATTGGATAGACGGTCGTACTCCTTTTTGCGATATATATATATATATATATATATATATATATATATATATATATATATATATATATATATATATATATATATAAGTAACGATGATTGAGGTAGTTTAGTTGATAAGAGAATACCGAACTGTAAAGTTATAAATAAATATATTTATATAAATTCGAACCGCTCGTTTTATTTAAAAACGGTACAATATTATTGTGTATTTCTTTAAGTTAACATTAACAGAAATCTTTAAATATTATTTCTACGCGTATATAATAAAATATGTCTAGTGGCTGTAATGCCAGTGTACTTGGCAAAGTGATTCTAAAAAAGAACAAACCTACTGCCTAAATATTTCGTGTTGGTATCATGTGACCTCATGAACTATGCCGCGGATGACGTGCAACGGTAAGTAAATTCGATGAAGTGTATCTCTCAAATCATTAGTGGTCTCTGGCATCTGTGTTGCCAAAACTCACGTTTAATCGTAAGATTATACGAATTCGGTAAATGTCTCACGATTTCACGAATTATATAGGAATTTACACGATTTTTACTCACCTTAGAGGAATAAGTAGTTTTATACATAATTTTGTAAAGAAATTGCTTAAAGACAGAAAAAACACTGTTAACAAACCCGTTATAACTGAACGAAAAAGGAGCTAAAAGTATTAATTTTATTTCTACCATCTACAATTCGGTGCTACTGGATTAAATTAAATCAGAATTCGGGGAAGTCCCGCTCTTGCACCAATTACAATATTACTGCGCGCGCATTGCATTATGCTTGTCGTTGTTTTTGTTTGGTTTGACCTTCAGTTGTGTAAGGTTACTTTTAGAAGCCGTTTTAAATTGCGACATAAGCGACTTACAAAATGGCAGATAGTGTTGAAAGTGTTGTTGGATCTCCTCCTAATAAAAAAAAAGAAAATTGTTTACCAAAAATATAAACTGGACTGGAAAAAAAAGGTGGACTTGGGTCACGTCCAGTAAAAAAGGTATGTTTCTTTTGAAAAGGTTTTCTAATATATTTGTTATTTTGGTCACGTTTTTTCTATAGATCTCGTTTTTTTGCGACAATTTAACAATTTAGGAAGCTAATATTGAAGAAGAAACAGGCTTTAAAGCCTACAAACTAGAAGGAAGAAGAAGAAGAAGATCAATGTCTTCTACATCAGAAACTTTCTAATCTAATCTCGGCGACAAATAAACCACATTAAGTGGCATTTTCACAATCTGAGTCTTCTTCTAACAAGCTATTAACTCTTTAGTAGTTAGTGCCATCTTCATTTCATATTTCGAGAATTTACTGAAATAAACAAATGCACTGCTATATAAATGCATTCATATGATAATAGTTTAGCTTACTTCATTTTAATTTATATGAACTTCATAATATATTTTCATATTTATGTAAACGAATAAACACAACAAAATTTCAAATTGAGTTTAAAAAAAAAACAAATATAACGTTTACACCACACAGCAATTCTATAAATAGAGAATGATGTGCAATGATGTGTAATTAAAATTGCAGATTGTTTTTAGTTTAATGAAAAAAAAATATTTTCCAAAGTTTTCTGTTTTTTGAAGTTCTGTAATAAGAATAAAATTTTATTTTATTTTGTTAGACAACTATAAGATACCTGTTAAAAGAGACATGATAATTAAATAATTAAATCGGTCTTAGATTTAATTTTTACGTAATTACTTATGTGTTTAAATAAATAATTAAAAATTTTTTTGGTACGCCTCTGCAAAATTGATAATTTCAATACGATTTCGTTGAAAAGTTATCGTTAAGGGCTTGGTTAAGTACGATGATGCCAAGTAATCACCTTCAATTAAAAATTGTTGTAGTATAGTAAGAATTCTGACGATTTTTCCTAGAGTGTTTTGGCAACGCCGTGTAGACAAGGAAACCAGAAAGGTTGTCAGATCGTATTTTATTTCTTTAGTAGATTGAGAATAATGGATATATATCAATAAATGGCGGTCACATCGAAACTGGCTTCACTTTCCGAAGGTTTATTAAATGAGTGTTACCTGTCCTCTCTCTTTCCTTGTCTCTATTTTCGTGCAATTTTGGGATACCACTTTTACTGTTGCCAACAAAAGAAATATATCAAAACATTTAAATGTAAATATTTCACTCCATGATTAAATATATTATTAAATAAATAACATTTACACGATGAATTTTGACGAGAAATTGCAACAAAATAGCCTGAAAAATAAAACACGTTCTAATTTTTCGTTTAGCTCATAACAGATATTGTCAGTTGCATTATCTTTCTTGCATCCGTAGCGCACCTAGAATTTTCCTCTGGGGGCGGGGGGTTTGGTTGGACCAAAGAAAGACGCTTATATTCTTTGCGTCTGTATTCTTTGGGTCTAGCGTCTATATTCTTTGGTTGGACACCGAATTTTTTTATGCTACATCCATCATTTTAAGTCCTTAAAAGTTGTGAATGACAGTGTCGGAATAGGATCCAAGGGGGGAGGTTAATCCCCAACCCCCCTGGGCTGGGGTATGTAAAGTCGACTTTTACATTGAAGTTTTTCAGTATTCATTGAACGAAGGTCGCCCACAATTAAAACTCTTTGACTCTCTTTATCGTATGCAGTATTGTTGTCCTTTGGAGCACTTTGCTTGTGCTTTACTTAATTGAAACTTTAACAGTGACAACAAAATCTGAGTGAATTCATTGACGGAACATGATAATATTTAAGAAATTTTGATTATTGATTTCTTTAAAAAAAAACAGCATTTCGTGCATATTTTCTTTACAAAATAAATTCCTATTTGCTAGGCGTCGCGCGTTTATTTTTTTGATGTTAAATTAATCATTATTATTCTGCTTTAGTTATCTGTTAGCGTGTTGTATTAGATATATTAAATGTTTATTAATTTATATCACATCTGCCTTTAGCGTTTATTGTGTTCCATTCTTATAATTTATAATTATAAAATCGAGATTTTATATTCGAAGGTTGTAACATGTTTTGTACAAATCGTGGAATGAGAGGTTAGGATTTTTATGGTATGGAACCGACGCGACGTGAAAAGTAAAGTAACGAGTTACAAAATATCTCATCTCTAGCTAAACGTGACACTGACAACTAGCAATTAAGTTGATTATGACACAGCATATGTTTATGTTCCCTGAAATTCTGCTGTTTTCAGATAGTCTTTGTGCTAGTTTGTTGTTCTAAGATGAATCATTGTTGACTAAATTTAAGTACATATTTAGTAATTGCTCAAAAATAAAACTTTAAATGTAAAAATATGGCCTATAGAACATTTTATAACGTAAAAGAAATAGTGTTGTGTTGCAAAAAAATGTCACAATTGTTGAATGATATTATTGTAAAATTAGTTATGTAAAATTCTTAGTTTGGGGTAATAGATGGAAGACAAGGGGGTGAAACCACGACCTCGATCAAATTCAGCCAGAATATTGGTTTTTAACGAATCAAAACCTGGGTTTAGACTAGAGCAAAGGCAGAATTCTTGTGCTGAATCATGGATTTCCCGCAAACAACACTCAGGTTTGTTAAATATGTGATTTTGCAATTGTATCAAGTAGCATGCGTGCTGTCATTCACCTATATTTTAACAATTACAATAGTTTTGTTTTTGTTATTGTTATATATATTTTAAAATTAATTAAATATAAAATATGTGTAATTTCAAATACTGATGGACAAAATAAATAAAACATTTTACAAATTTCTGAAAGTGAGGAATTCAAACATTTTTTGGGTCAATATACAAAAATAAATCGCTTGTGTGTGTTTGTAAAATATGCAGACAATGTTCAACACCTTTAATTTCGATAGAAAGTTAGTCATATTCATTGATGTTAAAATAATAACAAATTTATGATAATGAACTGTTTTAGCATATGTATATAAAAAAGTAATCTTTTTGGTTATTTGATTTTAATTGCAGTTTTTTGTGTTAAAATATAATACTGTTTTATTTTTCACAAATATGTTTAAATTATATTGGTATTAAATCTTATTACAATTGGTAGGTTATAGCAAATGACTTATAATGTGTTATTTTTAGCTGCTGTTTATGCTAACCATGTTAGATTAGATTATATTATTGAAATATATACTTAATTCTTTACCTTTTCTTTGAGTAATCTACTGAACTTGTTTCCAATTTTGATATTTGATAGATATAACCACCTAAATTAAACTGCCTGAAACAGCTATTATCTGTAGTTTGTAACTTGTATTGCAAATACTAAGGTGTAGATTGTAGATAAATGATTAACTTACAAGACAAAATTATAGCCATGTAGGTGTATGGAATTAACATTATGTTTAATGGGATGAAATAAATAGTCAATAAGAGTCAATGTGGCATTTTCCAATTGTTAATTTTTTAATTGATATAAGGAAAACTTTGAATGCCTTTTGCTTTTTCATTCTCCCATTTACTGGCATTATTATAACTCCAATATAAATTCAATAATCAGATGGAAAAAATAGGAATAAAGAAACGAACAATCATAAGGTATTCATTAATCTTGCAAAGGCACAAGGTACAGTTCCATGATAGGTCTATAGTGGGCAATCAATAAGAAAGGAGTCCATTGTGAGTATGTAAAGATGAGTATGTAAAAAAAATTGCTCATGTTTATTATAACAGTCAAAAAGGAAGATGTACCGAAGGTGAAAAAAATCACTAACCTTATGTCCATGAAAATACACATAGAGGAGTTAAGAAAAAGTCAAGGGATCAGCCAGTGTTTCAATTGCCTGGGCCTTTCACCATGCTCAAAGTTCATGCTTTAAAGAGGCAAGATGCATCAAGTGCAGAGAAGACATCTGACAAAGATCTGAAAAATTCCAGCAGAACAAAAAGCAAAATGTGCCAACTTCCGTGGTCAACACCCTGTCAATTATAGAGGATGCCCAAAAGTACCCACATAGGGAAGACCCAGAATATAAGTACAGTGGAACCTTGATTATCCGTCAGGGCACCGGACCAAGGGTATGACGGATAATCGAAAAGACGGTTAACAGAACATTAAAAAAAATCATAGTATAACTCTCAAATTTTATTTGTATGTTTTAATTGACAATATAAGAGATATTTATGTTAGTACAGTCGAATCAATTTAATTTAAATTATTCGAAATTTTTGTTTGTTTTATTGTTATTTTACATTTGGCAACTGCTGAATTTCTTAATCGACGTAAAATCATGAAATCTACCTTATTTGCTTCTTCTTGTCGAGAATACCACTTGATGAATTGTTGTGTGTGCGATGCAGCCCCTCTAGCTTCTTTACACAGATCTTTGTGAGTTGTAATAGCATCATCAACATCGCCACCATCAAAGTCGGCTTTTGAATCAGTTTCGTCCGCCTCTGTTGCCATTTCAACGATTTCATCGTCTGTTAGCAATCGATAGCCGTTTGCGTCCTCATCACAAATTAACCATTCGTTTATGTCATCTTTAGGCAACGAAAACAAAACAGTTGATTCAGCCATAACTTTATTTAAGCGGAGCATTTTCATCTTAAGTTGATGCCAGGACCATAATTTGTTCCTGGCTCTTTTCAGCGTTACTTCCGAAACATTAGCCCAAGCATCCACAACATTGTCGACTGCGTGTTTTAAATTGTATGCTTTCCAGCATTCTGGCCAAGAATATTACTCTTCCATAACTAGGATTTAAATAATTTTTTTCCTGTATCTTCTTTTGAATCTGTTAATGGCCGAATGATCAATTGGTTGTATCAATGATGTATTCGCAGGCAGAAAAGAGTATGTGATATTTTTATCGTCATTCCGCAGCATACCGGCTTTAGGATGGGCAGGTGCATTGTACAAAATGAGAATCGTCTTTGATGGAAATTTTTATGCAAACAAAATGAATTGACGACTAAATTTTTACTTATGTTGTCAATATAACCTATGTATGGATCCTGACGGTTAACAGAGGTGACGGTTAATAGAGAGACGGATAATCGAGGTTCCACTGTAATAAATGAGGACAAACAGGCAGTCATATGCACAAGCCACAAAGGCAGCTGAAAATACCATCTTGATCTCAAAAGAGAAATAAAATGGACTAACCCATATGGTTAGAGTTGGTCACCAAAATAGTGCAAGAAGTGATACAAGACATAAAGCTAGCACTGAACTAAGATGTGAGAAAAGGGGATAACTAAACATAGGCTCCTGGAATCCAGGTGGCATAAGAACTAATGAAAATGTACTAGACAAACTAATTAATAGATATGAAATAGATGTTGTAGCAATACAGGAAACCAAACTGATGAACAACATAAACATAAAGTTTCCTGGCTATGACATCTACAGGAACAAACATAGAGCAAGGTCAGGACACTGCCATCCTAGTGAGAAGAGGAATCATCATCTTCTTTGGTTCTACAACCCTGGGTGGGTCTTGGCCTGTTTAAGAATTAGTCTCCATTCCACCCTATCTTTCTCCCTGGCTTTCCAATTTCTGATCTCTAGATTCCTCAAGTCATCTTCAACTTGAGTTTTGAATCTATATCTTGGCCTGCCTCTCTTCCTGGTTCCTACTGGCTCTTGATAGAATATCTGTCTTTGAAGGTCTCCAGTGTCCATTCTTTCAAGGTGTCCTAGCCACCCTAGTCTATAAATTTTAATAGACTGGATGATGTTGCATTTTTTATAGCATTGATACAACTCAAAATTGTAGCACCTATGCCATATCCCGCTTTCTTGTACTATATGTGTCTAAGTATTCGTCTTTCAAAGTGGCCTAACAGTTCTTCATTGCTTTTTATCATAGTCCATGTCTCTGATGCATATGTCAGGACAGGTTTAATAAGAGTTTCATATATTAGTATCTTGGTTTTTCTGCTAATTATGTGTGATGTTAGAACTGCTTTAGTCCAAAGTAAGCTCTGTTCGCCCGGTATATTCTTCTCTTAATTTCTATGCTTACTAGGTTCCTGTTATTTAGTTGTGTTCCAAGATATATAAACTCTGAGACCCCTTTGAATATGTGTGCTTCTGTCACCAGATCTTGTGGTGCCGCTATTTGTGTGCTGTTTGTGACCTTCATGTATTTTGTTTTGGATATGTTAACCTGTAGTCCCATTGTCTTCACGGCTTTTTCTAATGTTTAAAAAGCCTGTATCAGGTCTCGTTTTGTCTGTGTTACTATGTCAATGTCATCTGCGTAGGCCAATATCTGTACACTTCTATTGATGAATGATGATGACAACACCTCTGGTTGTTCTGCCCGATTTCTCATGGCTCTTCCTAGCGCGATGTTAAACAATAGACACGATAGACTGTCTCCCAGGCGTAATCCAGTATGTGTTTGAAAAGACCTTGACACTCTGTTTTGTACCTTGACTTTGCACTCAACTTTCGAAAGAGTTACCTTTACCAATGTTATTAGATACAACAGAATATCTAATTTTGCCATGGCATTATAAAGTGCGCTTCTGTCTACACTGTCATAAGCACTTTTAAAATCTACGAAGAGGTGATGAGTATCAATTCCATATTCATATGTCTTTTCTAAGTTTTGTCTGAGAAGGAAAATCTGATCAATTGTTGACCTTTCCTTTCGGAATCCACGTTGGTATTTGCCTATTTTTTCTTCAGTAGATACTAGTAATCGATCATAAATTATATAAGCCAGTACTTTGTAAGCCGTATTTAGGAGGGTAATGCCTCGATAGTTGTCACATATTAGTGGATCCCCTTTCTAGTGAATAGGTCTTATAATACCTACATTCCAACTGTCTGGGAGTTTTCCTTCTCTCCAAATGGATGCAAAAAGTTTTATTATGCATTTTTTTAGGACATTTGCTCCTTACTTGAACAGCTCAGGGGGTATACCATCTTCTCCAGGGGATTTATTGTTTTTTAACCTTTTTATTCCCTTGGCAACTTCTTCTTCTGTTGGTGTATTATTCTTCTCCCTCTCATTGTTTACATCTCCACTGTGGTCATTTATGTCAGTCACTTCTTGGTTGCCTATATTTAATTTCTCAGCAAATTCTCCGCCCATCTCTCCACTATTTGATCCGACTCATTAATAATTTAAACTTCCTTACTTTTTATTATGGTTATTCTAGGTTTAAACTCTTCTATTGTGGTTCACATTTTTATAAAATTTTCGCGCTTCGCTTTGTGAATTGATCCTTTCTAGTTCCTGTACCTGGTTTTCTAAATGTCGTTTTTTCTTTTGTTTTAGTATCTTTTTCTCTGCTTGTCTCGTCTGTTTGTACTCCTCTTGATTTTGTCTTGTCCTTCTGTTTTGAAGTTTCCCATATACCTGATTCTTTTTTTGAGTTGCCTGTGCACATTCCGCATCATACCATTCTGTCCCCTTCCTTTCTTGTTTCTTCTTTCCTACAACTGTTGTGGCTACTTCTTTTAGGATATTTTCGCACTCATTCCAGTAATTATCTATGTTTTCAACAGTACTACTCATTTGGTCTTCTAGTTTTTCTTTAAGTTTGTGTTCAAATTTTCTATCTCAGGGTTTCGTAGTCTGTCCACCTCGAATTTAGCTTC